GCCCGCAAATATCTCTTTCCCTTCTGGCTGCCAAGGCTATAATTGGCCAAAGGCCCAGGAAATCCTGGCAGGGAGATGACCCCAGACCCCCAGGAATCTCTCAGTGGATGCGGCAACCCTCTACTCTGAAGGCAAAGAAAGATTGCTGGGGACCACATAGCCTCCATGGGCTTCCACTCACAGCAAAGCCATCATTCTCAGAGTCAGGGAGGAAACAAGAAGACCTATGCTTGTGTCCACAACCTCCAAGACTGGCATGTGAGTGTGTGTGTGTGTGTGTGTGTGTGTGTGTGTGTGTCCATGTGCAATTAGTTCCCATCTCCCGGGGCTGCTGGGCAGATGCTCTGGGTGGCCCAGGGCTGTGTTACCTGGGTCTCATAGGTGTCCCCAAACAGGCTGAGGGGTATGCCAGCGTGCAGCTCCTTGCGGTGGCCAGCCAGCCAGGCCTCCAGCGACATGGGCTCCATGACGGACCGTGTGCTCAGGGGGAATGGCGGTTCCTTGAGCAGCTGGTCTGCACCCACAGCACAGCTGTGGTCAGCATCCTCTGGCCCCACTGGCCCCGCCCCAGAGGGCCCAGTTCCCAGGGGTCCCAGCTCCCAATCGCTGGAATGGGCTCTGGCTCCAGCTCAAGGACCAAGCAGCCATGGGGGGGTACTATTTGGTGCCATCTTCTTGTGCCTTGAGTACAGGGCAGAGTACTCAAAAGGAGACTCCCTGGTACCCAGAGCCAAGACCCACCCTTCTCCGGAAAAGGAGGGAGGGAGGGAGGGAGGGAGGGGGAAGGGGAGAAAGATGGTTCCTAGTCGCCTTACCAGGGTTGGGTTTTCCTGTTCTGTGCTGCTCAGAGCTAAGGAACCTGCAGGCACAAAGGGAGAAGGGTAGTGGCTAGTGAGACACTCGCGTGTGCGCACGTGCGCGCACACACACACACACACATACACACACACACACTCATACGCTCCGGGGTGCAGGAGCCCACACACACTCATGGTGCCCTCACACAATTTGTTGTATATCTGCCATCCTTTCCCTCCCCTCCCCAGGGGGCTTTCCACCCTGGGGAGGGGCAGACTTTCTCCCTAAATCCTGGACTTGATGGCTCCAGGCTGGCAAGTACTGTCGAGGAGCACTGCTGAGCTGGGTCTGCTCTCCCCAGCCAGAGCATGGGGCCTCAGGAGAGCGAGGGGCAGGGGCTGGGCTGGGGGGCTCACTCCTGGATGATGGGGGCCAACTGTGTGCCGAGATCCTCGCAGTAGAACCACTTCTCAAACAGGACGTCAGTGGTGTCGCCTATGTAGTACCTGCCAGAACAAAAAGCAGGCACCCAGCTACCCACCTGGACGTCCTCAGGGCAGCCTCCCTCAGGCCTGGCTCTGCTTGTGATTGGCTGGGCCCAGGCTGGCCCTACAGAGCTGACGGCCTGCTTCATCCTGTTAGCACAACCTAGTGGCCAGTGCACACTCACCCACACTCGGCTCTCTCAGGAGCCCCCGTGTGGCCCCACCGTGGGTGGGCTATTACCGACCCCGTTCCCATAGCTCTTACTGGTTCCCCAAACTTGACCATTTACAAAGTAGATAGAACGAGGTTCAGGGAGAAGCTGGGTAACTTGGCAGGGATTACACAGCCTGTAAGTGGCAGAAGCAGGGCGGACTGGAGACAGTCTTAGAAACACAGCATCAGTGACAAATGCTTTTCCAAAAGGGGAAGCTGAGGCTGAGCCTGATCTGGGCCCTAGTGTGCTGGCACTCTAGGTCAGAGCACACGGAACCTTAAGGAACCAACATGCTGAAGACGTCCCCCAGATGAGGGGGTCCTTTTTCTGGGGTCATGGATGGCTCTGAGAACTGGAGCAAAGCGCTGGACCTCTTCTCTGGAGGAAGGTCCATACGCCTGTACACATAGCCTCTAGTAGACTCCCTGAAGCCCACCCAGGCCCGCAGCCCGGCCTGGCGTGCAGCTCCACTGGCCTGAGGAGCGTGGGGCAGACCGGGGCTGGGCCTCAGGGCCCTGTGTATGCAGCACATCTACTGACTGAATGCCTAATCCCCAAGCTTAGCTCCCAGTGCCAGGCCAGCTCTGCTCTTCAGCTCCTCCTGAAAAAGAGAAGTGGTCCTGCTTATGGGCGATGGTTTGTAGACACACAGTGCATCCACCCTGCCTGACACCCTAAGTTCTACCCTGGGATGGAGCTGGCCACTGGAAGGCCTCATCACTGGACCTCGATGCCCTCCAGGAACTGCCTTCAGAGTGGCATTTTAATGTTGAGCCCCTGGCTTTTATTAAAGGTCAAAAGCAGCCAGATGAAATCTGTTATTGAATTTGCTGTAAAAGTGTTACTGAGGACGCTGTCCTTTCCATCACTGAAGACTCCCCATATAAAGCCCCATTATGTCAAAAATTTATTTTCGAATTTAAGGCCAGGCAGCTATTTCTGCAACAGACTATTCTGCAGTAGATTAGTATGCAGTCATTAACATGGCGTTTTTTGCAAAGCATTTAATAGCATGAGAGATACTCATGAGTTTTTTTATGTAAAAAAAAAAAAGCAAAACTCAAACCCATGCTTGCAATAAGACTGCAATGTTGTAAGGTGTACACATGCATAGAAAAAAGATGAGATGGACGTCTAAGTGCTTTGTTAGCTTTGATTGGCGGGATGACTTTTTTCTGCTTGTTTTCTCTTTATTTTGTTTTATTGAGATATCATTCAGATGCTATCAAATTTACTTTTTACCTGACAAGTCATTTTAATTTTGTTCATTTTGCTTTCTTGTACTTTTCCAGATTTCAAGATTGATCATGTATGACTTTGGTAATTAGAAAAAAGAGGGAAGAATTTTTAAAATGTCCATTATAACACAAGATGTGGACATTTTTTAAATGTCCATTATAACAAAGTTTTCTGATTTCAGTAACTTGCTGGGAAATTTTAATTTTCTTAGTTAAAAAATATAAAAAATCGCTTAGCTTTTGGAAAAATCTGGGTCCCCCAGAACCACAGGCTGAGTCCTCCTTTCAGAGGATAATAATCAGATGACTGAATGGAACAAGATGGGAACTCTGTTCTAGAAAATGCTATAGAAACAGAGCACCCGTCTCTGCACCCATATTCCCCCCCTCCTTGGTGTTTACTCACACCCCCATCTAGGCTGTCCCGGCCCTAACTTCATATTTCTCTATAATGCCAGCTCGGCCACTTTCTAGCAAACGCAACTTCCCTGGGCCCAGTTTCTTCATCTGTAAAGTACATAACGGTACCCACCGGATAGGATCATTGTGAGGGTTAAAGGAAGAAATACACATAAAGCGGTGCCCAGCACATAGTAAGTGTTATTCAAATGTCAGCGCTGGGTGTGGAATGAGCTGGGGTAGAGAAACAAGAGGGGCGCACTGGCAGAGACTCAGCTCTGGGGTGGGGGGCTGGGAAAAGCAGCACTGTTCTGGGCTGCCCTGGGCCAGGTGGGTTTGACTTTGGCATCCATCCCCCTGCCCTTCCCCAGCAGACCTCAATGCAGAAAGCACGGGTTCTGGGTCTTCCCTGGCGGTCCAGTGGTTAAGACTCCACGCTTCCACTGCAGGGGGCGTGGGTTCAATCCCTGGTCGGGGAACTAAGATCCCACATGTTCTGGGCCCAGTCAGAAGGTGTCAGGCTGATGGGCTCCCAGGCGGTCATAGAGAACACCCCGCCTCCCGGCATCATCAGACCCACCCTACCACCTACCCCAATCCCTCCCCATCAGCCAGCAAATGCAGGATCTCCATTGCCACCAACCCTCTCGGTGGCTGAGTGGCTTTATTGGGTCTATCTAGGATCCTGCTGCTTCCCCCCGATCTCTGCGCCAGACCCCCAGACCAGGCCCATTTACCTGAGCGCATCTAGCTCTGTTTTCAGCCGCCTCCGCTCAATCACCAGCCCCACTGTGTTGGCAAACCTCTGCGGAGAGTGGGGGACCCCAGCGGGCAGGAGGAAGATCTGCAGGGGTGGGGACAAGGTGCCAGCCCCCCCACGGAGGCCTCAGCGCTGCAGCATCCCAGGCCTCCCCAGCTGACCACAGTCCAGCCCAGCCCTCTCTCTGCCAAGCCTCCACCCGGGAACGAGAGGAGATGTCAGGCTGTGCTGAGATGGACAGCCATGAGGAGGAAGTGCCTGAGGACAGGGCCGAGGCAGGCTGGGCAGGTAGGAGGGCAGGAAAAGGCTGGGAGCACAAGACCACCACAAAAGCCAGGAGAGTGGACATGCTGGGGTCCTGTTCTGGGGCCCAGCCTTACCTCTCCCTGCCGAATGACCACATCCCGGTGTTTCCCTTGCTCCAGGACTTGGAGAAGCATGTCGCCTTCCAGCTGGTAAAACACCTGTGGCAAAGGACAGCAGACAGGCTTGGACCCTCCCCAGTCCCTCTTCCAGGTCTTTGGCCTGAGTTCTGACCAGGAAAACTGAGGAACTTCCTGAAGGCCTCAGAGTTCATGAGCACCTTGGTCACTCTCGCGAGAGGCCCCAGCCTCCCCTGACACAGGCCACAGATAAAAGGGCTGGGGACACATGAGGATCATACCTTGACATTAAAGTGATGACCAAAGAACCCAGGACGTAACAGCTGGCGTCTGGCTTGAGGGCAGGAGGCTGGCTGAGATGCTTAGCGGACAATTCAGGGACCCATCAGCCAGGTAAGGAGAACTACCCATTTACTGCATCCTAGGGGCTGGGCAAGCACTTTCCTATACAGACAGGCCTTGTTTTATTGCGCTGCGCTTTATTGCGCTTCCCAGATACTGCGTTTTTTTTTTTAATTGAGGATTTGTGGCAACCCTGCATTGAGCAAATCTATTGGTGCCATTTCCCCAACAGTTTTATTTCTAAATTAAGGTATGTATACTGTTTTTTTAGACATAATGCTATTGCACACTTAATAGACTACAGATAGTGTAAACATAACTTTTACATGTAGTGGGAAACCAAAAAATTCATGTGACTCACTTTATTGCAATATTTGCTCTCTTTCAGTGGTCTGGAACCGAACCTGCAATATCTCTTAGGTATGCCTGTACATTATCAGAAATCTTTGTGACAACCTCCAAAAATATTATTAGCCCCATTCTGCAGAAAAGAAAAAAGGGAAACTGAGGCTCAGAGAGCGAAGCAACTTGCCTAAGGTCACACAGTTAGTCCTGGAGCAGCAGTTTGGACCTGAGTCTGAGTGTAGCTCTGGAGCCAGTGCTAGCTCCTCTGGCCACAGTGATGCCCTGGAATGGGGCTATGCTGGTCCAAATCCCTCTGGAGGTCGACTGGACACATAAATGGCCATGTAAATGGTGGACTTGATGCTGGAAGCTGGGATGAGTTGGGGGCTCTGGGGATGGAAGCACTCGCCTCCTGCTGTCTCCCTGGGGTGGGGAGCAGGTGCCGCAGGGTTCCTACTGCATTTTCTTATTCCATCCTAAGTCCCTAATTAATGTGTTTACTGAGATTACCCATGGCACTGGGAGGAGGAGGAGGAAGACACATTTTCTCTTTTCTAATCACACATTGCACGGGTGTTAAGAGCCCCAGCCAAATAGTTGAAGGGGTGTTATTAATAATAATTATCGCTATCGTGTAAGGAGTTAGAGGAGATAGAGGTTCTCGTCCCAGAGTCTACTAAGAGAAATCAAGTGAGCTCAGGGCAACTAGAGAAATGTGGCTTTACAGTCTGACATGAGGACAAGCTGACACAACCCCTCTGAAGAGCAATGTCGCAAAAGGGCAGGAAGAGCCTTCACAGCTCACACCCCTGGAAGGGTTTCTTGGGATGCAGGACCTTCCACGCTGAAACCGTCAAAGTCCAGGGAAAACCAGGACAGTTGGCCACCTTACAGCTTGTCCTAGTCATTCCATCTCTAGGAAAGTGGCTGCAGTGAATCAGAAATGCACCTGGCTCTGAACTTCCCTGGCGGTCCAGTGGTTAAGCCCTTGCCTTCCAAGGCAGGGAGTGCGGGGGTTCGATCCCTGGTCAGGGAGCTAAGATCCCACATACCTTGTGGCCAAAAACCCAAAACATAAAAACAGAAGCAATATTGTAACAAATTCAATAAAGGCTTTAAAAAAAATGGTCCACATAAAAAAAAAAATCTTAAGAAATGCACCTGCCTCATGGCCGACGTACATGGCTGTTTTATCACAGCACATGGTAATTAAAGGCATAGCATCCAGTGTCACCTGGCCCTCAGCTTGGCCAGGTCACCGTGTACTTTTGGCCAATTCAGTTAGCCTTTCTGTGCCTCGTTTCCTCATTTATAAAATGACAGTATCTACTCAGAATGTTGCTGTGAAGTGTGCCCAGGATGGTGTACACAAAGGTACCCAGCACATAGTTATTAATATTAGCTATCACTAGCTATTAATATTAGTGATGGAAGGAATAGCAAAAATAATGCTAATAATAGCAATAGGGGAAATGGCACGATTTTATGATAGAGACAAAAATTATGCAGCCATTAAAAACGATGTCTCTGAATAACTGTTAATAAAATGGGAAAATACTAAAGTTATCATATTAAAGCAAGATTCAGAGCTACACCCAGCAGGTTTCTAATTATGTAGCCATACATGTATAATCCAGGCAGTGTTCACCATGGCATCCCTGAGTGGTGGGATTATGAATGAGGTATACATTTACGTTTGTCTTTCCTATCTTCTGCACATTTTCTATAATAAACAATATTTACTTTTATTATTAAAAATAATTCATGCAAGTTATTTAAAACAAATAAGAAAAAACTTATCAGGCTCTTCTAGGGAGCAATTCTTCAAACTCCCCCCAAACCCTCCTCAGCTGGGAGGAAGCCCCTATGTGTTTGTATATGTGGGAGGTGTCCTTCCATGGTTATGGGGAGAGGAGGAAGGGCCTAGAGAATTCTAGGGAGGGGGCCATACCCCTTAGGCCCCACAAATATCAGGGAAAGCTGGAGTGGGCGGCAGGGCTGGAGTGATGGTCTGGGCCAAAGTCAAGCCCTTTCTGGGAAGGCTACAAGGTGTTAGTGGCCATTAAACAACTTAGAAAGAAAACTTAGAGAGTGGAATTTTAGAGGCCTGTCCTGTGATGAGGGACAGGCCTAGCCTGGATCAGAGGTGCAGATCCTATACAGCAGAAAATCCCAAACAGCCACGGGCAATCCAAAAGGAATGATGCTCTGTTTGGAAGTAAATGATGTTTGGGGCCTGTGGCTAACTAGAAGATTAACTGTACTGGCTCAGGTGGCTCTTGAACCGAATCTGGCCTCCGCAGCCTGGAAAGGCCTTACAGGCAGGCGAGGGCAGAGAGGGGCTGAGGGTGCAGAGAACCCATGTGTATTAAGCACCTAAACCCTGTGCCAGGCTCTGTGCACATACCCTACCCACACTGCATCCTTCCACCAGCCAGGGGCCGGTGTCCCCCGTGAGCTGTGAGGAAACAGTCTCAGAGAGGTGATGTGATGGGCCCTGCCAAATCACATGGTTGGTAAGAGGCAGACTTCAGGTCCAGCTGACTCCCAGTCCAGGCTCCCTCGCACCTATGCACCCCAAGGGAAGGAGTCAGGTAACTGGAGTGTGTGTGGTGGGTAGAGCCCGGGCATCTGAAAGGCTGTTGCAGAGGCCTCAGTTCAGCCAGGAGGAAAATTCGGCTCAGTGACTCCCTTCCCTCACCAGGGAGGAGCCTGGCCCCTGGACTCTCCTCAGATTCAAGGACAGGCAGGGACAGAGAGGATGTTGACCCTCAGCCCTGTGGCTGCCAGGGCCTGTGGCTGGCACTCTCCCCTGCCGCAGGTAGGACCAAGCCATCACAGATTGATGGGAATTCCCAAATTCCTCCAAGCCACCTGAGGGTCCCTCCAGAGTGGGGACACCTGCTCAAGCCAGCCCTCCTCAACCGCCAGCAACCCAGCTGAGTCAGGGTTTGGTTTGGGCCCCTAAGTGGATACCCATCCACTTGGGGAGACCTTGAGGTGGGGCTGGGACAGAGGTGGTAGGGGGCAAGAAGGGGAGGAAGGAGGGAGGGAGACGGGAGAGGTGGGCACTGAGACCTGGGCTCACAGGGTGGAAGCCTCTGGAAGACAAGATGGGGGGCCTGAGGCTGACTGAGGCAGGCAGGAAAGACCCTGTGACTGGCCTCATCTCCCCCACGGGGGCCACTCCCAATCCAATCCCATCTTCTCTCTGTAGTTTTGATTTTCCTGC